GGAAATGTAAAAGGCCTCCGTTATCGTTGGTGACTGTGTCTTCCCAGGACCGTGGTATCTTCCAAAACCGGAGAACAACCACATCTGTCGCAGTGAACCGCCATATTCCCTGACGGAGATACCCTAATCGAACACGCGTGTTCACATAATCTATCATTAATGCAGCGACCGGTCTGGCCGATGTAAACTTTTTTGCAAGTCAGGGAATTACTGTAGAGCCCCCCCCCCCCCCCCACACACACACAGACCCAGGCAAGGGACAAACTTGTTTTCATGCTTCTTATCACGTGCGGCCCTGACAACCGATCCCCTCTCCACCCTCACACATAAACATCTCAGCTTAGGCGGTGCTGAGAAAACAACCGGAAGATTGTGGCGTTGCGCTTTCTTTAACCTCTGTGCCACCTTATGGATATAGGCACCACCACCGGTTTCTGCGTAGACTTCCTACCCATAACCAACGTTTGGAGGGCGGCTATCCTGGCAATTTCCTGGTAGGTGCGGCTGGGTGCCACTTGAGGAGGGTGAGAAATCCGGAGGTAGTTATAGGTAGGAATTCTACGCAGAAATCCATGAGGTGGCGCATAGGTTAAAGAAAGTAGCGCAACGCGACGATGGTCCTGTCGTTTTCTCACCACCGGCCAAGCTGGGACGTTTATGTGTGAGGGTGGAGAGGGGATCGGTTGTCAGGGCCGCATATGATAAGAAGCATAAAACAAGTAATCCCCTGACTTATAAAAACGTTACATCGGCCAGACCGGTCGCTGCATTAATGATAGATTATGTGAACACGCGTGTTCGATTAGGGCATCTCCGTCAGGGAATTTGGCGGTTCACTGCGACAGATGTGGTTGTTCTGCGGTTTTGGAAGATACCACGGTCCTGGGAAGACACAGTCACCAACGAACTAGAGAGATAACTGAGGCCTTTTACTATTCCAAGTTCAAAGACAACTGTGTCAGCGTGCCTTCGATAGATCTTTGTGATTGTGAGTTGGCATTTTTGAGGGGTTTTAACTTGTGACGATCATGTGTCGTGGTGTAATTTGTGTTTGGTGTGACCACGCCGTTGGGCGTTTCTTTAAAAATGAACAGTTGACAGTCAGCGCTCCGTCTACGTACATCTTCTCTGTAGAATGTCCTTGTTCGTGCTGTTTTACCCGTAAACATGTTTCACCAACTAGCCCAAATTTCAACAGTATTACAGCTCATTGTATATTTTTTCAGAACACCTTCGTCTGTCACGAATTCGAGGGGTACAGCAAGGTGCAAACACAACAATGTCTCATAGATAGCTGTAGAAATATATTATCACGAGCACCTGTTTCTGTGCAATCACCCCCTCCACTGTTGAAAATCACAGCCGTCAACCTTGCCATGCTTGACACGCTGCATGCTGGATTTTCGCTGCACCGGTTGGTGTTCGGACGGGGGAGCTCATATTTCCGGTGTCTGTACATAAAATGTAGCTCATGAAAATTATTTTTTACGGCTACATACGAGACATTATTATGTTTGCTGTTTTCTGCAACCCTCATCTTTATTTGCTGAGTGTAGAGGAGAAAGCAAAATTAACATTAGCCAAGGGACAAATATCAGCATGTACAATTATGGTCAGTCGGCAGCCCTATACGGTTCTTAAATGCAGGGTGGCGAGGTGAAAAAAGTGTGTTCGTGGCCGACATATATTGTAGCACCTGAGCTCCCTGCCTTCTGTTGGTGTTTGTCCCGTTTTCTTCTTGAAACTTGCCTTCCCTTGGCCATGTTCGCTGATACCGATAAGAACCCATTATCGCACCCAAAGAACGCTGGCGACCGATGAGACCGCCTGACAAAGCGTGTCTGCCCAAACGTCCCTGCTTTTTGTTTTCTCACCCTTTTGGACATATTGTTTCTCATCTGTGCATTGGTTGGTGTCCTCTTATCCAAACAATAACCTCAAATTTTCACAGGGAGGCCGCTGTTTGCTAAAAGAAAAGAGGCCCCTGTAGAAGCAAAATCTGATAGCAAAGCAAGAAGAATCACTCATTGCGAAAATGAACCAGTGATGCGCCGGATTTGTGGCGTGGATTCTATTTTTTTATCTCCAAACCTGTCAGCTCATTCTCAGCAATAAATGTAGCAAAATACATCAGTCTAGCAGCGTATCATAATGTACATCGGAAAAGTATTTCACTACTGAAATACAAATAGATTTCCCAAATGCATCTTGGTACAGATATAGATACTCAAAAGTGTCCCTAAGATTATATCGCAATACTTTCATGTCGAGATGTTGCCCCGATTGTAATTCTTCATTCGTTTTACATTGCTGCAGACGCCGGTTACTTGTTCACACATAAGCACTCTATGCCTGTGTGGAGGCTGATGCTCATGGCCTTTACTGCAGCAAATAATAGCAGTTAATAAGAGCAAACATGTTTTGGCCTTCTACATTAAAATGCATTTTTCTTTTTTTCTTTTACCTAACGCAGGACGAGAACATTCCACCGGCACCATGTGTCCTCTACAACAAGCAAGAGCTGGACGGTGCAGACTTTCTTCACCTTGTTGTGGGTCGTGAGCGCTTGTTCTCCGTTTTAATGCCGAGAGGGGCTGTGCATGTTGTTGGCAGTATATTGGCTGTTCAGCATCCTGTACGAACGCAAGGCCTTCAGCACGCGGTTGCTCTGGAGAGGATTTTTTTTTTTTGGCTTGAGTGACACAACTCGAAGGGCAGTCGTAATTAAATTTTTGAACAAAGTATGCAGACAGGTATGTGGTTGAAGAGATATTTTGGTGAGCCGTTTTAAAAGTGTATAATGCACTTTTTTCGTCAGTATTATCAGGTTAATTTTATTTTTCTTACAGAACGAATGATAGAAGGGTTTATGTAGGTATGTTTCTTTTCCTAACTTTAAACGTCGGGCACTTTCTGTGATAGCTTATGCTGACCTCCTGTAGGTGAGGTGCTTTAATATTTAGCTGTACGAGTTCCTCATCCATAGTCGTCTTCCAGAATTTTATAATTTTACTTGTACATCAGCAAGAGGATAGCGTCGTCTTCTGAAACATTCGCTTTTTTGACGTAAAGTGCGAGTTCATTCTGTGATATTTTTCATTAAATGTTTGCAGATAGCATTCTTTATGTCATGGAATGGCATGCATTGTATTTTTCATTTGTCTCTTACGGTTCAATAAATGTTAAATTTAACACATTCTCATTGATATAGTGAGCTTCACTTACTGAAATACTGCTCTGGTTCAGTCAAGGCTAGAACACCCCCTCTACCATGCCTCCGATTAGTGAACAGATGCGCATAAGGGGACAAGTGATAAGCAAAGCTTGTTTCCTGCAATCCTCTGAGACAAACAAAGCATGTCACGTGTTATCCAGCCAGGAAAGCTCCACGTGCTTCGTTTGTGGCAGCCCGTGATGCTTGCAATGGTTCAGCCGTGCAGTACCATGTTTGGGGCCACTGATTGCTCACTTAGAGTTCGAGAAAGGGGGACGCCGTAGCACTACCCAGTTGCCCTCGGGGTTATCATGTGGCTTGCAAGGAGCTCTTTTGTAATACTTCTTCATGAGGTGAGTTCTGCTCAGTGTGACTCATTATTTCTTTATCACGTGCCTCGTATGTGGTGAAGTTGCAATCCCCCTAAGTGGAAACTGTAAGGCCCGCTTCAGACGGGGCAACTTTTCCAGCAATTTTAAGGTTGCTGGCGGGTTGTTCCCTAACTTTCCCTAGATCGACGCGAATTGCTGAGATCGGGTCCGGCTCGAACAAGTGAGCAACTCGGAGCAATTCGAAAACGGTTGAAGCGGCTGCAGCCAATCAGAGACGCGATATTTTCACGTGACACCCCTGTGGTGGTGATGATGACAGCTAAAAACTTAGTTCTGGTTTGGAATGGATCGTTTTCGGAAATAAACAGTTTCAGAAAAATGAGTTAGTATTCTCAACGCCGTTCAAAGATATAAGAACGCGTTTTTACCGCGTAGCTGGACGTCTAAATATTAGAAGAAGAATCAAATTTCATGATGATGATGGCAAGTCGGAGCAATTCGGTTGCTGCGTGTGAACGCGGGCGGCCCGTGTTGCTGGAGTTGCGACGTCAAGTTGCTGGGCGAAATTGCCCTGTCTGAAGCGGGCCTAAAAGTAAATATAAGCTGTAATTAATATAACAATAATATAAGAATATGAATACCTTTTATAATTTTTGTACAATTTACAAGTTCTGATATGTGTATTGGACACATTCTTATAAAATTTTCGCTTGGGCTTGTACTTCATTTCACCTTTCGTCCGAGGGCGGCGGAATCTACCAGCCATCCCGGCCAATCCAGCGTCAAGAGAGCATCATGTGACCTTGAACAACCAAAACGTCGCGTGATACTCTCCCGGCGCTGGTTTGGCTGGGGTGGCCCAGCATCCACTGGGCCACCACAGCGGGCGCCCATTCCATGCCAAGCACCCTTCGCCAAGGGTGCTGGGCAAGCACCCACTATAAAGGGTGCTTCCCTGAACACCCCAAGGGTGTGAGCTCTGGGAGAAACTGATCTACACCCTTAAGGGTGTAAAAACTTTTACTGTGTAGGATATTCCGACCTCGAATAAGTAACAAAATTCTCGAATACACCAAAACGCGACATTTACAGAAATAACAAAAAGGTACGGCCGCTCCCAGTCATCGAACCTATGCTCTTTGCGTGGGAGCCGAGCCCGATAACCATTCTGCCACGGGCGCGTTTTTCTTTTCTTTATTCTGCCACGGGCGCGTTTCCTACTCAGCTAGCTGCGCTTTCGGCAATATGTCGCTCGGGAAAATATGAATATGTCAAGGTGGGCACCCCGGGCCCCAAGACCGCCCTTGCCAGACGTCTTCAACGTGTCTGTGTGGTTCCCCGAACCAGGCGGTAGAGGATCGGGTACTTTGGGGTATAAATATCATTACTTCGCATAAGCATAAAGAAGTCAGAAACAAGCTTGATTTTGTGCCTACTCCTCAATCGACATCCAGGTGATCCAACGTCGGTCCTGGGACGAACTTGAGGGCAATGGCTTCGAGAAATCTGAAAAAGACTATGAAGAAGGATTTCGCGGAGGCGCGTCTTCATACTGGATAGGCAAGTTATACCAATCCTTGTGTATTCACTTAGAAAATTCAACCAGAAATGATAAGAAAAGCATGCCTAGGATCCCGCCAAACTCATCTGAACGGAGACTACGTTTACAGGTGTCATGTGCCATCGTGACGTCACATCACATGGTAACGTCACGCGACGTGGTAAACCTTGCCACTAAATTTAATGGTGAACATAAAACGCTCATCAAGTCATATCTGTCAGTGAGGTTACATATTTATCTACAATTACCCCCAATCAAATGGAGAAAAAACCAAAAAACGTCTTCATAAAAATGTATTATTGCGTGAAGAAAAAAGATCCATAAAACTGATTCTTGCATTACACAGAAAACAACAAAAGGTGGAATTGTTATTGGCCTACATTTCATCTTTATCACGAGGGGAAACAATTATAGAACTATACTTATTGTACTGTTATATGCTCCCACTGCTATGGGTGCAAAATTATATGTAAAACATCGTGAATTAAAGAAATGTGTGAATCGTTATTATTTTACTCAAATATATTTTTCTTTTCAATGCACTATATTTAGATTGGTTTGTCCTATGCTTCTTGCTAGTAAAGAACAGGTCAGTAAAGTGAATAAAGTCAGTGAGGCTTTGCCTACGATTGCGGGCATCCATATATAAAACAGGGTGCTAATTTCTGCAGTTTTGTTCACTTTACTGACGCCAGGTCAGTAAAGTCAGCGAGTCTTTACAAACACTTTGCTGGCTTTCAGGTTTAAAATGTGATGCTCATTCCTGTAGCTTATGTTAGGGGTAAGCTTACGCCTTACCTCAATCATAAAATAATCAATTTAAAAAAAAACATTTATGAGTTAGTCTTACTTTGCAGGTTGTATTGGTGTTTTAATCCTGAATGTATTTCTTACATTCCACTAAAGGGCTCAACAATATTCATGCCCTCACGACCCATCCAAATAGCGATCAAGTTCTCAGGATTGAACTGACATCACTAAAGGACGAAACAATTATTGTGCAGTATGGTAAATTTAAAGTCGGTCCCAAAAAAGACGGCTACCGACTGACCATCGGCGATTACAGGAGCCCTAATGGTAAATATCGGCGCTTTTACCCTGCCTCTTGCACTCTGCTCTCGCGTCGCCTGCAGCGCTGCGTTAGTCGGTGGGTGCTGGAACTTTTAGAAGACGCTCTTCACATGAGGTTAGAAACAAACTTCAGAAATTTAAACTTTTACTCAGCATGTGACGGCCAGCATCATACAGGGTTTTTTATGATCGTTTGTGTGAACTCTAGAAAATTCAGTGTGAACCGTGTCTTTCACAGCGCTGGATTAAGGGAAAGGGGGGGGGGTAAGCAGGCTGCAGCCGATGGCCCAATCCCTGGAAGTAGAGGAGGGGGAACTATTATTTCAATGTTTTTAAATGTAGCCCCAGTTAATTAAACAAGGAGGCAGAGCTTTCGTCTAATGCAATTTCGTTTAGTTCAAGTTACATTGCGAGGGGTTCGAATACATTGACTTGCCACCTCGCAGCATTTGTGGATGCGTTGCCGCGGAGACTTTTCGAGTTTTCTCTTAATCACTGTAACTAAATGGTAACGGGAAAAGACGCTTGTTATCACCTTCTCTGAGCAGGCGCTGACTCCACTAAAAGGGAAGCTCATTACGCTCTTCGAGAATCACAACCAGATGCGGATTGTCGGGCCAGTTGCGACCTCAAATCTCTACAATGATAAAAATATACGTACTCGCACGCTGTTAGAAAAACAAGTTAGCAAAAAGATAGTAACTGCGGCCGTTAATAGCCCTCTATGACCGTCACTACCTCTCTTCTAACTGTTTCACCTCAAATGCACCACAGCAGTAAACGCGGTAATTACTAATATTAGCTAAGACATCGGAATAGTAATTTGTACTTCTCAGTGTGGAAAAGGAAAATAAAGATGATCTGAATCACGATGCATATCGTAATTTAAATCAGATCAGTTCCGCAGTGACTATTTAAATCTAACCTTACGCACCAAATTAATCCCGACATATATTTTAATTACCGTTTGTCTTTTCTTTGATTCCTTCCATGTACATTTTTCTGTATTTAAATCCCAGAATCCTCAGAAGAGTTATATGGGGCTGAAGACGAGCACACGAGCAAAAATGAGTGATATTTTAAACAAATCGGAGCGTTAAGTTTTCTTTCTTCCTCACGCTTGTGCGTGAGTTACGTAACGTCTTTTTGCAAGCAAATGAGAACGCAAGATAAAAAATTAAACAAAATATTTTTTTATTATTTAGGTAATACCAATCTTTCACGTTTAAAAATATATCTGTAGATAAAAAAAAATCCAAACTGGTGGCAGCTGATAAAACCGTTTGCTCTACTGACGTCTAAACCCTGGTTAGCTCAGTTGGTAGAGTGCTCCACCTGAAATGGAGAGGTCCCGGGTTCGATACCCGGACCAGGCGGATTTTTTCGGTTGCTCACCAGTCACCTAGCTGTGTTTGGAGATTTATGTTAGTCCTTTGTCCCTCTTGTTCCCCTTCTCCAGGGATTATTTTCAACATTCTTGTCCAGCTCGCTTGCACTCTTGCAATTAATTGCATTATAATTATAACCTTAAATTGCAAGCTTCTCCCTCGTTGGTGTTAGACTGTGGCACCTGAAAAAACCCGTTTGCTCTACTGACGTCTAACCTCTGGTTAGCTCAGTTGGTAGAGTGCTCCACCTGAAATGGAGAGGTCCCGGGTTCGATACCCGGACCAGGCGGATTTTTTTCGGTCGCGCCCCAGTCACCTAGCTGTGTTTGGAGGTTTGTGTTTGTCCTTTGTCCTTCTTGCTTCCCTTCTCCAGGGATTATTTTCATCAAACTTTTAGATTCAAAAATATACGAAAGAGTCAGACGAAGAGGACGGACAGGACAAACATCTTTGCGACCTCAGATCCTGTCCGTCCTCTTACCCTGACTCTTTCGTATATTTCTGAATTTATTACCAACGCGCTCAATCCAAGTTTAAAGTAGAGTTGACCCATGCATGACCAAAATGGAACGCTTCTTGGTATATCCAGAATATTCCTGTATACTTTTACCCCGAGTGTAAAAGATAACGAGGCCAGAACGACCTTGCCTAGTCAGTCTCGCCTTAGCTCACTTCCGAACATTCTAGGCCGAATCTTTGAGAAACCGAGTGTATACTCGATAAGGATCCGAACGCAGCCGTGCCGACTATCTCACACCCTTTCGACGCGACGCACTCTAGCTTTCGCCGGCGCCCGACTCTGCATTTCTGACCGCTCGGACGCTTGCGACGCTCTATACAGTTATATTGGTTTACAGATTTGGTTGTTCGTTTTAGTTTGCGCGTAATATCGCCCGGTTAAACGTTCATTTAAGTTCATTATTTTATCGTCCATTCGCATTCATCGGTAAACAGTGATCTAAATCTAACTAATTTGTAATAAATCAAATACATTTAGTTTGATTAAAATAGATTCGATTGAAATCAAACAAATCTTATTATTTACTTATGATTTTAAAAAAAACAATGATATATATATGGGTGCAGGCAAAAAGGGTCGAATTTTTAATTTCGGTGAAAAAAAAATATTTTATGGCGCCGTTTCTAAAACCGCAGTCGCCACAAACCGCAAGTTCGTCGGATATTTCGTTCTCGACTTATAAATTTTTAAAGAGGCCGCGGCGGAAAGCGGTGTTTTTCACACCCGTTGTGGGTCGGATGCTTCGCTCGATCTTGCGCCGTGGATGTTCAGTCCACATTATACTAACTTTTTTCAAGCACTCTGTGGACACATTTAAAAGGCTCCAATACCATAAATAGCTTTAGGCGTTTTGCTTTTTTTTTCTGTAAAAATGTCAAAAACGCCCCCTCGGTCAATTGTTGACGGACTTTGACAATTAATTACTGGCGATCTACTTGAGTTACATTGATATTTCGTATGTCCACGGAAAGCCCAAAACACGCTCTCTATTTGTATTATAAAATGACTCGTCTGTATAAAATATCCTTTGCGGTACGTTTACGTTAATGTTATGCGAAAACCAAAAAGTACAATTTTTTTAAATTGATTTTCTAAAAAAAACATTTTTTTTGTTCAAATGTAGATATCATAGTTGTCTACACGAAAATCAAGCCGAGAACGTGTGTATTTTGTTTGTATGTTTAATATTTAGGCCTCAATATCTGAAAAAAGACGTCCTTGTTTTGCAACACCTAAGTCAGACATAGCGACCCATGCGTCTCTATGAATTGTGAAAAAGTTTTCTTGAATTTTCTTCTGCATCTTGTAATCAATTATAAACGGATTTTGTGGTATTGAATATTTATTTATATTTTGATAAGAGCGGGAACCACGAGATACATACCTAACCAAATCAGTAGGCCTAGTAGACTTTCAATAACCAAAGGGCACAGACGTTGTATTGTTTCGATTTATAAACCTTTCACAGTAAACTAGCACGACTAGCTATTAGCTGTCATATTACTAAGACAAAGAAGGTCACCACATCGTCGATATATCATATACAATTCTTTCCGAAACCAAACACTGGGGTTTGTTCACCCCACATCGCACAGGTCACCAGGGAATGTATTTGACTTCCGTAATACACAAAAGTGATGACTTTGCCCCCAAGACCCAAGTTCGCCATCGCCCCCAAGCTCGAGGCAGTAGACAACGTAGCTCTCCTAAGGCAAATAGCCGCCAAGGCTCCCCAAGGAAAAGGCCCTCAAATCATTGATGAGGGCATTCAAGCCTTTGAAAACCTCATACACCAGACCAACGGAAAGATCAGCTTCAAATCCACCATTCACGAATTGCGAAGCAAAGATCTGAAGTTATGCGTCTCAGACAAAGAGGGAGGTTTTGTTGTTCTTGGTTCAGATGCATATGGAGAAAAGGCTCATCAAGCTATCATCAAGAATTTTATAAATGTTGACGAACAACGAACCAAAGCAGCAAAAAGACACATCTTAGACCTCTTTGAAAAAAATCAACGAACCAGCCTTTGCACCAAGATCAAAGCCGCAAAAAATGACAAGCTTATGGTGTTTTTCTCCGCCAAGACTCACAAAGAAGGGATACCTTTCCGGGCCCTAGTGTCAAAAAAAAACAACGTGGCAAGCATGTGTTTCAAGGTATTTGGCCCAACATATTTCCACAATACACCATGCGGACCCATTCCACATACCAAACTCTGAGCGAGTGATATCATATCTAGAGGAACAAGGAAACAACATCGTCTCGGAGTTTTCCTTGGACGTACAGGACATGTATTACTCCATTCCTCAAGCAAGGCTTGTACAGGTCCTCCGAAGTTCCATCGAAAACCAAGGGCTCGCGGAGTTCCAAAATGCAGCAGGTGTTAGCCTAGACACCTTCTTGGAGGTTTTAAGGTATTATTTGTCCGCAACGGTAGTAACCCATCAAAATCGGCCTTATGTCCAGAAGAGTCGAGTGTGCATTGGTTCAAAAGTTGCCCCATATTTGTGCGACATCTTTCTCGCCGGATGTGGGGTAGCCATACAGCAAGTTTTAAAAGACCCGCGAGTTGCCGCTATTTTCAGGTATGTTGACGATTTTCTTATTTTATGTACAACTGGAGTTGATGAAACAGCAGACGGATGCCTTCACACCACCCTCAGGCATTTCCAAACAAGCTGCGTGAGGCTCAAATTCACCTACGAGCTCCCAGTTGATAATTCCATACGGTTTCTTGATTTGGCCTTGAACTTCCAAACAGAACATTTGTGTTGGAGATATGAAGTGCGATCGGGGAAAGGGTTCCTTCCCTTTGAATCCGAACATTCCAAAATTGTAAAACAAGGGGTCGCTACTGCAGCTCTTTCAGCCAGCCTCAGAAAGACTTGCCCCCATCAGATGGTAAAAAGCTTTGAAACCCAAATGTCCAGGCTTCATGAGGCCGGATATCCGAAACCCTTCCTGGCCTCCATTTGCGAAAAGATTTTCCGCAACATAAAAAGAACTTGTCAACGCACCGACCTTGATCCACCGAAGCATATCTCCCGTTCACCTTTTGCGGTGGTCCCATACATACATGGGGTAACTCACAGGTTAAA